TTCATCAAGCCAAATACGAGCTTGTGCAAATGATGCTGGTGCTAGAATGATGAGGATTTAATTAATTATAATGTAAAAGCTGAACGGTCAGATAATGTTTGATAAAAATATTCTAGTCACTTTTCATCTAATCGTCTCTCTGACAGAACGACATTCGTATTAAGAGTATTGAATTACTATTTTCTGTTAGCAGCAATGAAAACTATTACCGATTTTTGAAAAAGGCAGTTCACGAAAATGCTTACAGTTTTGAAGTGAACATGATAGAGATCTGCGGTTTTCACCTTTGGATAGATCTTGATAAGGGTCGTAATACTATTAGATAAACAAGCATTTTGGACGTGGGTGTGGGTATGGGTGTGAGTGGCGGTGAGGTTGCGGGTTTGGGTGCGGCTGTTTATATTGTTTCACACCCACACCCTAAAGGGACTAAAATGAGTAAAGGTACTAAAAGGACTAAAGGTATTAAAGGCACTAAAGTGACTGAAGGGTGTAGACCATTCTTTAGTTACACAGCATAAAAGTTAATCATGATAACTTTAATTCTTCGTGGACTCCTCGTAAATGTGAAGAGGATGTATTTCTACAAGAAAGAGCTAAGCGAGTCCACGGACGAGTGTTACTTGTTTCTTATTAAAATTGACCCGTAGGGAACCACGAGTAGAACCTTAAGAAATAAAAGCTGAGGAGGAGTTAGGGTTAAATTTCGATAAGAAATATTTTGCAATAAAGAATAGTGTTTTTGGTGTATTTTTTCACGCTGATTTCGAATATGATATTAATTTTGTATAGAACGTAACTTAAGACGATCAAAATCTCAAAATAGTATCGGTTTTTTGGTATTTTTCGGTATATTCTACGACTCAGAAAGAAATATATATCTTCCCAAAATATGCTTATAACTCTTGGGCCATGAAAGATAGAAACCTGGGATTTGCGTAGAATTGTAGATCTTAATCCCGGCTATCGATTGCACTAATCAAAAATAGAAGTTCGTTATATCTTCCCTACATGATAGTTTTTTCAAATTTACAAACAAAAACGCCCTGTGGTAAATCCTAGCAAAAATGCTTGGTTACCTGATAGTATTACGTCCCGTATCAAGATCTATCCAAAGGTGAAAACTACAGATCTCCATCATATTCCCTTCAAAAACTACAAGCATTTTCGTGAACTGCCTTTTTTCAAAAATCGGTAATAGTGGTTTATAACATGCTTAGTATTCAATATGCTTAGGACTCAAAGAGGACTAGTCTGGCTGATGACAAACTGTGAATTTTACCGGCTCTGTTCAACCATCTGAGTAACTTAAGTAAGATTTGTTTTCTGGCATGAAATCTACGAGCCTGTGTCAGTTCTGAAAGAGAGCCAGTTTATATGCAAACAGGCTTATGAAAGATTCTCCTGACATAGTTGTGCTGTTTTCTAAAACGAAATATACAACTTTCGAGCAACGACATGCCTTATTTATTTTGGTTTATATAAAGATAAAAGATTATTCACGTATTGAAAGTAGACATTCCTTGGAGATCTTTACAATTCAACTTCGATTTCTCTTACGAAAAATTTCTCGATAAGTGCGATTCCATCTCACTTTCAGCGTCTTCAACGATCTTTCCCTAAAAGTTACAAAACTAGAGCACCTGAAAAAGACAACCTGAGTCCCTGACAATCACAACTCATTTGAATTCCTATTTTCTCATTATCTATTTCGTTAGGATTCATTTAAAAACTGAAAATGCTTTGTCTGTACATTGCAATGCACTTTAATGCATATTTCTCATTGCTGATTTAACTGACTACTACTTCTTTCACACATTAGAAAAATCTGCATACAATTATACCTTCATTCACAGTATTCTCCAATCGATGAAATACGACTAATTCCATTTCTTCAGCTTCCTCAGGAAGAATAAGAGACAGTTTGCTAATCGATGAACTTATATCGATCACAGAAATGTTGTTTGATTTTATTTCAAACAATTGTTCAGATATATATTGAAATCTTTGAGCTATTTTGGAAATAGTTGATTTTTCAAATAAATCATGTGAACATACAAAACGATATGATAATCTCTTGTTATTTAGTAATGAATTGTATTCAAATGTTAATGAGAAGTCAAACTTGGAAACTTCAGCTGATTGTTGTAATGGTACTTGTTCTAAATTTGCACTATTCAAACTTAAATGTCCCATATCTTTTGACACACTGATAAACTCAAACATTGTTTCAAGAAATGATACATTAGATTGATTTAATTGATTATCACCAAGAATATGTTGAAGTGGATAATGAGAATGTTCAAGAATTGACAAACATTTTTCTTGTACATATCTAACTACTTCATCAAATGACCAATGAGGATCGAGTTCAACACGAAATGGTAATGTTGCTACAAACATTCCAATCATATTCACTAGTTCACTTCGATATCGATTAGCATTAATAGAACCAATACATAGATCAGTTTGACCATGAGTTAATTTGAATAGGAAGACATAAAATATGGATAATCCAAGTTGAAAAAGTGTGAGATGATGTAATGATGCATAGTTGAGAAATGACGTACATAATGCATTATCAAAAGTGATTTCAGCTGTAGAAGCTAAACCTGATCGTTGTTGATTAGTTGATGAACGTTGTCGGTCAAGAGGTAATGATAATTGGCGTGCAACATTATATCCTTTGAGCTCTAAAAACCAAAACTCTTGAGACGATGTCATATCCATGATATGTTCATGAACAGAATAGTCTATATATTGCATTGAATTATCATCTATAGAAAGCAAGTCATTAGATTGATAAGCAAGAGAAAGATCACGAATGAAGATTGATGTTGATGCTCCATCAAAACAAGCATGATGAATAGTAAATAATATCAGATCATCTTTGAACAATAGATCATCATTATTCTGAGTAAATAAATGATTCGATTGATCACGACAAAGAATATGACACTTAATAACATGTCCTCTTGATAAATCAAATAAATCTGATTGATTTATAATCTTCTTCACAATTTCGTCCTGTTCATGTTCTTCATCAGGAAGATTAATCATCGAAAATCTAAATGATTTCTTATCATTGATGATAGTATTTGCATCTAAACAATGTTGAATAATAGTACCATTTGTATCATCAATATGAAGTGCTGTTCGAAGAATTTGATGTTGTGTTATGATAGATTGAAATGCATGTTGTAATCGTGAAACAGATATATGATCATTCATAGATGATATGCGATAAAGTAATGGAATAACATACACGTTAGTATTATTATTTGCTGATGAAAATCGAATTTGTTCATCTAAGAAAATACGTTCTTGGGCATATGATGCTTTAGCTACAATCAGAGAGCAGAATATAGTTGAGGAAATATTCTTAAAAATTATGAGCTACCTTTCATGATATCTAATGAAGACCAATGATAGTCATTGATATTCTCTTTCACATTCATAGTTTGATAAATGAGTTGAGCATGATGAATAATTGTTGGATGTTGAAATAGATCAGTAATGGAAAGAGTATTTGATTGAAGATGAAATTGTATTTTATATCGATGAAAGAGTTGCATAATGAGCAATGAATGACCACCAATAGCGAAGAGATTTGTATCAGTTGAAATTTGATTTTGTTTTAATAAATCGCACCAAATATGATGAATATTAACTTCAATATCATTTGTTGGTTGTAATAGTTCTGTACTGTTTGTGAGATGTATTGATGAGAAGTGAGGTGGCGGAAGAAGTTTTCGATCTATTTTTCCATTTGGATTCAAAGGTAGTTTCTCAAGTATAACATAGATTG